CAGCTAACAATATGGTACTGTATGGTTAAAAATGTGTTAAAAGGGTAGGTCTCATGTCAAGTGTTCTTTCCACAAAACGTCAGAATAAATTTTAAATATCGCAGAGTAACCTGGGCTCTGGAGCCTATAAACCTGGCCTACTCACAAAAATGTACTTCATTTTCAGGGCAGATCACAGCCAGCTGTAGTTATAAGAAGAACAGACACTGGAAATCCAAAGTATCCTTCCCAGAGGCCTGGCACATCTGTCCATTAAATTACTACAGCCACTATGGAAAACAGTATAATGGTTCTTCAGAAAACTAAAAATGGACCCATATGATGTACCCATAGGTGTACATACAAAGGAGATGAAGTCGGAACACACTTACCTGCGTGTCCATGCTTACTGGGGCCTTATTCCACAATAGCCAACATAGGGAATTGGCTTAGGTGCCCATAAACAGATGAGGGAAAAAGAAAGTGATAGATAGATAGATAGACAGATAGATAGATAGATAGATAGATAGATGGGGTATAGATATATTAGACATACAGAGAGATAACAGAGTATTATTCTGCTATCAAAATAATGAAATCCTGCATTTTGCAGTAAATGGATAGCACAAGAAGACATCATGTTAAAGAAAATAAGCCAGACACCAACAGCTAAGTGTTGCATGGTCTCTCTCATACGTAGAAACTAAAACAATACAAACGAAAAAGATGACGTGAAAGTAGAAGACAGGCTACTAGGGCCCGGAAAGGGCTCAGGGGTCAGGAGAGAAGGAAGAAGGGAGAGAGAAGAAAAGTAGATATGACCAAAGCTCAAGTGCATGCACGTATGGAAACGTCCCAGTGAAACCCATTAATTTGTACAGATAATATCAGTTAATAACTAACAATTTTTCAAAGAATTTAAAATGAAGTTACACCTATTTCAGGTAAGAAAGAAACTATCAAAAAAATAAGCTCACTCAGAGAGTGCTTAAGACATTATTTACCCTTAGTATCTCACTAGCAGTGAGCTTACTTGAACTTTCGTCCTGCTACCAGCCTCTGTCCTCCCTACATCTCTCCAAGCTCTAGCCCAAATTCTCTTTCTAAGAGAATAAGTCAAATGGTATAATTTCACAGCTCAGAGAAAAACACAAATGGCCATAGGATAGATTCCGCCTTGTTAACATGATCCACAATCCTGAACCTCACATCCCCTGGTTCATCTTGTGCACTCCACAACCAGACCACCAAGATCTCTCCAAGGCTGTATTCATTTCATAACTGCTACTCTCCACTGAAAGTCATTCCCCGCCTTAGCTGTGGAGAAAAGCTTGACCAAGAATACTCATCTTTATTGAGCCATCCTGGTTCCTGCCTCTCTCCAACTTCAAAAAGATAAATGCAGCTCCAGATCCAACAACTCTCAGGACCAAGTGCAAGCTGAGTTCAGAGCCTCTGAACTTAACTCAGGCCTGGATTCTTGAGCTCAACATCAAATCACCCTGGCCACTACTAGCACATTCATTAATTCATTTAGTATTTGAAAGCCATTTTGCCTCAGATCCTATATTCAGTGCAAAAGAATAAGGCTGAAGAACGTATGCTCCCAGCACTCAGAAAGCCATCCAGTGTCAGAAAGTCTAGACGGAGAGAATGGAAGGACAGACAATTCTGTGACAAATATTCCAACCTGGCTGGCGCAGCAGCCAGTGTCTCCCTGCCCCATTTCTTCTCTCTGGGATTCTTTCTGCCTAGATTCCTGCTCCCAAAACTCAACTCTCTTTACATCCTGAAACCACCCAAACCCACTGTCAGAACAAAAGACATGTTCCCAAACTTCCTTCCAGTGGAACCGGGATTCCTGCAAACCACTCTCCACAGAATGAGGAAAAGCCAATTTTTTTACAGAATCTGTTGCTTCAGGACTCTGACCTGGCTCTGAACTCTGGCTTCAAACATGAATTCTCCAATGCTCTTTTGCTCTGTGGTACATAAGGTCCCCCTGGGGATCCTATTTTAAGTGGTTACCCTCAGGATCCATCCCCAGATATTTTATTGGGATTTATTTCAAGCCTCCTAGGCAATTTTAAAGGAGATCATCCACAAGCTTTGAAAAACACTGTCCTAAAATCAATGCACTTTATCTTAGGGTTCTCTGCTGCCTCTGTCTCAACCCACTACAATCAGCAGCATCACCGCCCTCTTAGATCCTAAAGCCTTCACTGCTGGGCTAATTCCCCAAATCTCCTGCCAAAGGAGGTGTAAATCAGAAAGCTGAGGGCCTACCTTGTACATGGCTGTCCAACTCAGATTTTGAAAATTAACATCCCCAAGGTTTCTATCACCAGGCTGTGCCTATTTTAGGGACATCCTGATACCTTCTTTTGACCATCTGCCAGTTACTGTCTAGGACTCTGACCTGTTTTCATCATCATTAGGACACCATGCTTTTCTCACACCTAAAATCTTGTCATTGTCTCACTTCCCTAGTCAAGTTTGGTTGCAGGCTCCAGCCCACCCCAGCTGGTCCACATAAGTGTAAATTATTGACAGTACCAAGTCCTCAAAAATTGCAGCCCAGGGTCACATTTTCTTTATCTGAAATTCATGCTTGTCATGCCTGGTCCTCTTACCTGTTCCTATCCTCCCATAAATTAATATGACTCAGTACTTGTAGATTAAATAGTCCTAAAATAATCCTTAATTTGGGGGAACACAAAATAAGAAATTTATAATAATAGTAAATGTCCAGAAGAAGTGGTATTGCCAGAAAGATCAGCAAAGAGAAACTAAAGTTTGCATAAAGTTCCCAGAAATGAGACTTTATCCGTCACATTCCCCATTTACTGAGGGCCAATTATACGCCTTTCCTTTCATCCTCTCAACTATCCTACGAAGAAACTGAAGCTCAAGGAAGTCTTGTATTTCCCCAGTTTACACAACCAGAAAATGAAAGCACTAGCTGGGGATGGTAGCAGCACATTCCTGTAATCTGAGCTACTTGGGAGGCTGAGACAGGAGGATCACAAATTCAATCCTAGTCTAGACACTATAGTGAGATCCTGTTTCAAAATAAAAAGTGAAAAAGGCTGAAAGCCTGGAGAATTAGATCAGCGTGAAGACCCTGGTATAATCAGTGGGAGGAAGGAAGGAAGGAAGGAAGGAAGGAAGGAAGGAAGGAAGGAAGGAAGGAAGGAAGGGGAAATATGAAAATGCTAAGATAACACAGATTGACTGCAAAGTTCAGAGATCTTTCTACAGCATCACAAATCAAGGCAAAAATTGTGTCTACCTCCTCATCTTTGCCAGGGCTTCTTATCACTTGAGGCTCTAGTGGCACTTGGAAATTTACAACAAATTTTAAAACATATATGAGCAGAAGAGTTCTTCTGGAATAATCAGGGAATAACATGCAGTTGGGTACACGAAGCAAGAAGGGAAATTTTCTGCCATGCAGCGGAAAACTATTCAACTCTGTGGTGCTGAACATAACACAGAATGAACACTGGACCTTTGACTGTTTTCTCTTTGGAGAACCTGACTTCCACTAACTGGGAAAACAGGCTGTGGAGCAGACTGCTGCACGGTAGCTCACCCCAACAAGACTTCATGGCGAGGCTTCTGTAGTGTCTGTGTCCACCCAAAGTATTCCCCTGGCCTCTTTCCTCCTTCCGAAGGCTGCTCCTACCAAGAATACTGCATGACCAGGACTCTAAAATCACTTGGTGCCACACGAGCCAGAACACTGTCGTGGCTTCCAGGCCTTCCACGGCAGCCAAGAATGAATTAATTGATGACAATGGGGGCTGTGAGTTGGGGGTGAGGCCAGCACGGAGAGGGGGAGTAGAGGCAGTGAGCCACACTGCTCACCGTGCCCAGGAGCCACGAGACCAGGTCTGGGTCTATGGGTTCTTGGGTCTTGTTCGGATGAACACGATGATGTGCTTTCATCCTCATCTGTCAAGGAGAAGAATAAACCCTGCTCTCACTCCACAGGCCTTGGCAAGGCTCACGTGAGGGGTTTACATGGGGCAGCTCCAACAAGGCTCTAAGTCAAATGCCTCCCTCGACTTCTACAGTAATCTGTGCTTCCACAAAAGCACTTATCCTATTTTACAGTTATCAGTTCTGGGGTTTTTGTTTTGTTTTGTTTTGTTTTGTTTCTCTTGCAGATTCCAAGTACCCTACGGACAAAAGCTGTGCTGGTCCTGCTCACCACTGTCTTCTAGTATCTACCGCAGAGCCAGGCACTTGGTCAGCGCTCAGCAAGTCCTTTCCCAGTTGTGAAGGAATGAATGGATTCCTGTGCAATGTTCACTTCTTTTGTGAAAATCTTGTGCGGTCTTAAAACAAACCTTACGTCATCATCAGTCTCTCAGTTGATCTCAGTCACTGGTGAATTGGTTTCACCTTATAATTAAACTTCACCCATCAGGCATAGCTCTTGTCCTCAGGAAATATATACTCCAAAGAAAAGAACACGTTCAAAATGAATTTATTTAACAAGGCACACAGTGAAGGCCATTTCTAACAGATTCCTCTTAATATTTCCTTTTTTTTTTTCAGATAATTAGCTTCTGGGGTAATTCCCAAAATCCAGAAACCCTAAGTTTCTATATTTTCAGGCCATGGAGTTGTTGTTATGACCAAATGGATTAAATACAAATTCAATCATGTAGAAAGCTCAAGCTTTTCTTGTGCTTTTCTTGTGATTCCTTTCTCAAAATAGTAGTCTGTTTGAGAAGGTATAAAAGAGAAGAACACAGAGGTGTGCAGAGGATGCTACTACAGATCCCGGTGAAACATTTGATGGAAATAAAAGACCCAGACTCAAAACTATAGGTAGGCTTTACCATGACAAAGATCTGTATGTGATGAGAATTGGGAAGCAAAACAAACAGCACCGGTTTAAGGCAGCAATATTTTTAGTACCTTAAAATTACACACGTTCTTGTATCTGCTTTTATGTAGAACATACATGTAATCCTAACAACTTGATCTTGCCACCAGCAGTTCTGCTGGAGAGGAGATTTTCTTGATGGTGCTGCAGCTGGAGAAGGTTAGCTTGACACAGGAAAGCTTGGGGGCAGTTCAGGCGAGGAAGAATTGAGAGAAGTCTTTACGGCTATAGAGAAGATGAGAAGGGGAGTCAGAGTGACAACAAGAAGCCACGAAGTCTAAGAGAAAAGTCTTCTCTGCCTAGCAACCGATTGGTGCATGAACCTTGGAATAGCTAAGTCTGGGTAGACAGTAGCGTTCCTTAATCATTTCTAATACTGCCCTTGAAGACAACAAGCAAATATACAACAAATAAAATTTCCACTGTACTCAGTCCGACAAATTATTGCTATGGCAGTGGGGGTGGCTCACAGAGAGCTCAGACGCATACTGTAAGCTGCCTTATCATTGTCCTTCCCTTCTTTCTTCTTCCTCAAACAAAGATGTCACCACACTGAAGTTAAGGATCATCCTCTTGGGGTGGGTGAACAGTGACCTGGAAGGAACAGAGCCTTCAACCCCGAGAACTTTTAGAAAAAGAGCCTCTACTCCCACAGTGGACCTTCTGACACACACTTCTGTTTGACAAAACCACTGCAATTTAGAGATTTTATGTTACTGCTGAACCTTGATACAGAGAAAGCTCAACATTCAAGAGAAGTAAGAAGCGTTTCGCAGATTTACAGAGTAGTATCGTAAACTTCACACGATGTGAGCAGGATACACATAACTATAAATCTGCACACGGGAGATTATGAGTCCCCAAGAGAAAGAAAACAAAATGTTATCTTGAAAATGGGAAAAGTAGCTGAGGACTTAGCTCAGTGTGCCACAGTCTGCCTTGTAAGCACAAGGTTACAAGTTTGATCTCTGGTATGAAAAAAAAATGGGAAAAATAAAAAGGAGATAAAATCACTTCTGTTAGAAGAAAATGAGGGAAGGATTCATGGTTCAGTTGATATTGCAATGGCCCTGGAAGAAGAAGGAAAAGGAGACAACGAAGACGACAACAAAGAAGGAGGAAGGGGGGGAGGGGAGGAGGGGGAGGAGGAGGAAGAAGAAGAAGAAGAAAGAAGGAGGAGGAGGAGGAGGAAGAGGAAGAAGAAGAAGAAGAATTTTGATGGATGAAAATGGGAAGAGGGGCAAACTAGGCTGAGGTAACAGCATCACAGAAGCATGGAATCGGAAACCATAACTGTGCTCACAGATTCAGTTTAACCAAGTGCAGACAGTGATCTTCACTGATCACCCACTTGATCTCTTTCCTTATCCTGCTGCATGGTCTTTGTCACTGACCTGACCTTTGTCACTCACCTGACAGTAAAACAAACAGACTGTATCTTGTATATTTTCTAGAATAACTAAAACAGGAGCTCGTGAATTTTTTGTTTCAGGACCAATCTACATTCTCAGAAATTAAGGACATCAAAAAGTTTTTTCATGAATACTTAATGTACAAAACTTTAAATTGAGAAGTGTTTAAATTATAAAACAAGCATGTATATAACATATTAGTTGAGGTCTTCTAGGGTGTCAGAACAGCTTTGGGGATGAAACAGAACCAGAGAGAAACAGGGAAGCTGGTAGCCTAATTCTGTCTGCATCAAAAGGCCTGAAAGCCCAGCATATAGGTGCACACTTTTCATTCCAGCTACTTCAGAGGCTGAGGCAGGAGGATCACTTGAGCCCAGAGTTCAGGACCAACCTGGGCAAGGTAGTGAAAACTCTTCTCTAAGATAATTAATGAATTGATCTTTTTTAATGTTTTAAATGCCTGAGAACCAGGAGAGCTGATACTCTAAGAGAGAGGACCCACTTTTCTTCACCTTTTTGTTCCTTCTGTGCCCTTCATGGACTGGGTGGTGCTTGTCCATATTGGTGAGGACCTCTTCCTTTCTTAGACCTTTGATTTCAATGCCAGCCTGGCCTGCCCCAGCATAGACATACCCAGGAACAAGGCTTTACCTGATCTCTGGCACTCCCTGACCAGGTCAACTGGCACCTAAAATTAACCATCAGTTGTCTTTTCATGGAAAAAAAATCTTTTCAAACAAAATAACGAGAAGAGTTGCAATGCTTTACATTTTTGTGGTTCTCCTTAGTGTCTGGCATGATAGAAAACAGACACTGAAGCTAAAGTCCATCCTCACAGGGTTGGATTCTCGCCTGGGCTTCTACATTTAGTTTGATTGTGATAGCACGTCAGGCAGCCTCTGGGAATTTCCACTGTATATATATATTAAGACAATAAAATAGCCAAATGTGGTAGTGCAAGCCTGTAACCCCAGGACTCAGGAGACTGAAGCAGGAGGATCACTGTGAGTTCAAGACCAGCCAAGGATACAGAATGAGCTCAAAGTAAGCCTACAATACACAGTGAAACCCTACCGCAATACAACATGAAACAATAAAACATGAGGGAAATGACATCTAGAGATTATAATGAAAATAATTTTGACTTGGCAGACACCCTGACTGGGTCTCAAAGACCTCAAGGCTCCCTGACCACACTCTGGGGACCACTAAACTAGCATGCAAGCTCAGGGCCCACAGGGACTGTGTTTTCAGTTCATTGTCACCTTGCCTCATCTAGAGACTGAGATGGAGCAGGCACTTGTCACTGCATTATGAACCTGAGGCTCTATTGTAAAAGACACTGAACACCAGCTAAGAAGTGGAAAATTAACTCAGTGGACACTAGACAGCTGCTGGAGGTATCAGAGCAGTTTGATTCATCTGACCACACCACGGAAGATGGGCTGGAGCAAAGAACAACCCCGAGGCAGAGGTGCCCCGTGGCCATTTGGATGTAGTCCAAGTAGATAAGGCTCTGAGGTAAAGTAGAGACTGAACAATGGAAATAGCAGAATAAAACTAAAAAATCACTGGATACAATGTATTCAACTAGAAATGCATGAAACTATCCAGACTTGCCATTAATCATTTGTATGATTTCTCTCTTTTTTTTCCCCACTGCGGTACCAGGGATTGAACTCATGACCTTGCACTTGTGAGGCATGTGTGGCGCCACTGAGCTAAATCCCTAGCCAGACCATTTGTATGACCTTCTATAAGTCAGTCAACTCCTTATTCAATAATCCTCACCTCATGGGTACAATAAAATATTACATTAAATGTGTATTATCATTTTCTTTTTTATTGCTCTTAAAGTAATTTGCAAGTAATAGAGTTAAATCACTAAAATATTAATTTGAATGTCATAAAACCCTGATTCTTCACTGTTAATTATATCTAATGCTAATCCTGATGAGAATAATTACTGATGCTAGTACTAGTCATTAGCCAGGCTCTTCAGAAGTAACATTAGAGAATCATATTAAGCTTTAATGTTAATTGAAGTGTTTTGTTGATTAAAAAAACTAGTATCACTTAGTAAGAAGCCCTTTTAGCTTATTTAAGTCTCAAGCAACTCCTGTGAAGTATTTTCCACATCTGCCAATCAGGAGATAGCAAGAAACAGATTCAGGACAGCATCACACTGTGTAGAGGAGGCAGCCCTCACAGACAGCTCCAAGACAGGTACCAGGGTCAGTCAGTGTGCAGCCTGTGAGGTGGTGGATACAACAGCCACTGGAAAATGGAAAAAGCATAGTTAAGGATGAGCCAAAGAGAAGAAGAAGGAAAGCTAGAATGAGAAGGAAGTCATCTCCCAATCTGAGCATTGCTCCTGGTGCGAGGCATGCTATGAGTTGCACAAAAACATTCATGGGGAGAATCCAGAGCAGCTGCTGGGCCCTGGCCCCAGTTTTATTGACTGTACCCTGTCCCTGCCAGGACACAGCCCACAGTCTGGAGTCTGAGTTGGTCACAGGAAAGTGCCTCCCTGTTCAAAGCTCTGTCCCCAGGACAGATCCCACCCCAAAACAGAGTGATTCTCAGGGGACAGAGTCGGACCTACATGCAGCAAGCAATGACCAGACTATCTTGGCCAAGAGGTCTGGGGCAATAGGACTCATGAGCACTGGGGGTGGAGAGAAACAGCCCGCATTAGCAGAGAAAGCCTCCTCCCTGACCCAGGTGCCACTGAAATCAAGGAGGTCTGGAGAAGCCGGTAAGGGAGTGGGGAATTTGGGGTGGAGAGAGGACCAGATGAAGCATCCACAAGGTTGTGGCTGGCTGGGAGCATCAGAAGTAAGACCACTAGAGGAACAGAGCAAATGTCTGTCACTGATCCTTAGCACGCAAGAGGCCACTGAGCACGGTGGACTAGAGAAGGGCCACAAACATCTTCTTGAGACACTTGTTCTAATCAACACAACAGGACAGTTTTGTTCTCTCTCTCTCTCTCTCTCTCTCTCTCTCTCTCTCTCTCCCATTCTCTTTTACATTTAGCCTTTTCACTTCTGTATACATAATGTTTTTAACAATATTTTAATAAAAAGCTTCATTTGACATTGAAAAGAGGATTACATTTCTGCACATAATTTAAAGTTTTAAACTTTACACACAAAGTACTTTGCCAATTGCTATGGGAAATGCCTGCTAGTTGACTCCAGCTCATTCAAATGATCTGTTGCTATAATGAGGACAAGCATCCCTGAGGCTCTGGCTAAAGCAGCTGCCACAAGCTTGTGAGGCTGAGAGTGGCTGGGCCTCAGAGTGATACCTCAGAACCACCTGCTAGAAGGAGCAGCAGCCCATCATGTTCATCCTATTGGATGAGCAAAAGTCATGACTAATTTTATCCCCACCGGAAAAGCCAAGTTTGTTTTTCGACAAGAATATTCTTTAGTCAATACATGCAGATGGCAACTGGTAGTGGATTAGTGAGAGGAGCATATAAGAAAACGAAAAAGTGGAAATAAAGTGTTTGTAAATGGGGAGGGTAGGAGGGGGTGAAGGGAGGGTAGGAACAAGGGGAAAAAATGAGAACCAAGACCTGTCATGTAAAGGTACAAGATCCCAATGATGAATGTAACTGTACTGTATAGCTAAAATGTACCAACGAACTCAATGAGAGAAAAAGAAAATAACACTACATTTTATTTTGCCTCCTTATTATACATAATGTATTTTACATGACAAGGGCTTGTCTTTTAGTCCATGTATATACGGGTATATATCTGTATTCATTTCTGCTTTCATTTTGTAACACTCTTGTTTTGC